TGTAATACATTCTGCTGTCTAACACTGCTATCAGAGATAGAAGTAATATTGGGGATCCACAGACTTGGACCTGAATTTCTTTATTGTTGTGAATTAACAAGATATTATTCCCACCCCATTTTTTTCCCTTCCAACTTCAAGTAAACTACATTCATTCCATTAAGAAAGTACTGAGAAAGTGAACCATATTAAGAAAATAGTCAAGTATGTGTTCCCGGAAAACTTACTATCTAGAGCAGGACAGATGGGCAAAAGGGCCTCCTAGGCCACTGTGCAGAGTGGAACTTCATTCCAACTGCAATAAGAAGACACAGAGGAAGCTGGGCATGGTGGTGCACACCTGTAATCCCAGCACTCAGGAGGTTGAGGCAGGAGGATCACTGTGAGTTCGAGACCAGCCTGTGCTACATAGTGAGTTCCAGGTCAGTCTCAACTGCATAGTGAGACCCTGTCTAAAAAAAAAAAGACACTGAGGAAAGTGAGGAGCTGTGTGTGTGTATATTTGTGTGTTTGGGATACAGTTCAGCTATATTGTCCAGGCTGGTCTTGATTATGATCTTCCTGTCTCAGCCTCCAGAGTGCTAGTATTACAGACATGCACCAGTACATCTGGCTTTCAGTTAGATTTTTCAAAGCTCTCTCAGCTGTTGTGGAAAGTAGGATTGGACAGGTCAAGAGCAGAGAAGGGCAAAGTATAGTAGGATACAAAACAGAAAAATGCAATGTTTAACTAGGGCGACTATATGCTTTCCCTTGTCTGTCAACATGCTGCTTTCTTCCTGTTTTCCATCAGGGTAAGCAATGGTTCAAGATGTTTCACTTTGTAAATCAAGTATTATTTTCATTAAAACTACACCATGATTTGGTTTGTAATCTTCACTTGATATTTACACGTCCTGCCATTATCTTTCCTCCCTACCAAGGAGACAACTGTATGGTAAAGAGAATTTCCACCTTAACATAGGATTAAATCTGAAAGATGGCCAATGATAATCCACCTATTTTCCTGACTTTTTGCAATCTTCTTGTAAGCAGCACTTCCCTTTCAATGACAGCCTGCAGGGTGCTCACCACTAAAATAAGGAGCACCTGAGCACAAGCAACTCAGGGGACCTAACTGCATCCAGTCTTGATTGATGATGTGAAGTATACCACACTGGTTCTCCTGTCAAGCACTGGATGTCACTGTGCCATGACTCACACTTAGCCTCAAAGGCACAGAACGTGGGTCAGAAGGGTTCATGGGAAAAAGAAAATGTTATGGATTAGGTTATATGTGAAATGCCTGCAGGAAATAGACCTACTAAAAAATCTTTTAAGGAATCGTCTGAATGTTCCAATTACTGTGTTTTTGTCAGTTACTAAATGGTTTTATTATTTTGTTTTGCAATATCCGTTTTGGTAGTGATGAGCTACAAAAAAAAAACCCTGAAAATATAATGAGAAATGAAATAATTTCCGGTAGTTTGTTTGGTGCTCAGATGGAGCCCAATACCATACACATGATAGGCAACTGCTACACCACTGAGCTACATCCCAGACCCAGATTTTGTTTTTCAAGAAATTAATGACGAATGTTAATTAGTACAAAATGCTTATTGGTATTTATGATTCACCATCGGTGCAGAAATGATATCCATGAGTACATAAAGCACAAGTTACAAATCTGCTAAAGAAGTATCAGCAACTATTTAAATGTTAATAGTTACCGTATTAAGACTGTGCTGTTGCTGATTTTACACATGCAACTACAGAAGGTTCACTAACAGCATACCAGGAAACACTACTCTTGTTTTAGATCAAAAGACTTGTTCTAAATTGCTGTTGGTTCTTTTTGAGTGTGGTTTTCTGTGCACATATGTAAAGTGATGTCTTTAGTGTATTAGCTTCATTAGCAAAAGAAAATTTATAAGCAGTTGATTCAAATTTTCTGTATTAGCAGATGTTTTAAACAAAATCATTTAATTAAAATGACATTTCCCCCATTTCATGGAATCAAAATAAAGTTTCTGTGACATTCTGTCAGAGGTGAAAAATTTCTTATTATAAATGCTCCTGGAAAGTGTAGAAAAGATCACGACAGGGATTTAGCTCAGTGGTTCTGCCACCTGCCTCGCAAGCGCAAGGACCCACATTGGATCCCCGGTACCAAAAAAAAAATTAAAAAAAAAAAAAAACACAAAAAAGCAGGAAATGTGATGACACAAATTCAAATTTTGTTCTTACTTTTAAAAATCATGTTCTTACTTTTCAAGAAACCTACAGAGCAGAAAGGTACTTAGAATTTGGGATGGCACACACATAATTCATAACTCCATTCAAACAAATGGCTATTTCCCATCAAATACAAGATGTATAAATTGACAAATTGTATTGTATATAACCAGTCAGAAAAACTGAACTAGAAAATTTCTGCGACAAAGCCAATGTTGAATGTAAAAAACACCTCAACATAGCTTAAGTGCCTTCCCCTTCACCACCTGTCATCATCACCCGGTTGTAAAGGTATTTGAGAAATGCTTCTCTAAAGCAACCTGGGTGAGCCACATCACCACAACAGACGAGTCCTCTGAAGTCTGAGTGCATCTGTTCCAAACCAGTTGGAAATCTTTCATCACAGCAGTGAATTCAGCACCAAAATACTTCAGGCTTTTGAAGCCTTTAGCCAATTGCAGTTATTGAAAATAAGGCGTGTGAACAGAAGATGTTGAAATTTATCCCAATGAAAGCAAAGGGGGAACTGAACACATTAAATGATAAGAATCTGAACTGTGTCCAAGATTCAATTTTGAAATTCTGCTTTGTAATATCTTGACTTGTGTCAGAGTCTTTTGTGACACTCCTACATTTACATTTATGTTCTATACCAAAAATGAAGTGAAATCAAGAAGACCTAATGCTTTGCTTCTAAATTTGACAAAATTTCAAAAAGACCATAAAGCATCATGTCTTCTTAAGTTTTGCCTGGTAAAAATATTTGTTAAAGACAGGAATTCTAAATGAGGGAAAAAGACCTGTGAAAATATGTGGGCAAAAATATGTATATATATTTTAAAATGCCTTGTAAGAGCCTCTGTTTTGCAGAGTTTGCACTCAGCTTACCAGGGATTTTGTATCTGCAAAAAGAGCTATTTTCTCAATGAGAAACATTGTGATACACACATAAATGCCAAATGATATTTATTTCAAATATTAACTATTAACACCTCTGAAGGGATTTCAAGCAACTTTATGAGAAAATTGAACACAATTCATTCTTCATAAAAATATCAGTGACAGAGTCCTGGAGATATGGCTAAAACACTGACTGAAAAATAACTGTTGCCAATATGCTTGCTAATGCTCAGATAATTGTTAGAAAAGACTTTCCTCTAATGTATATAGATTGCTTTTAAGCTTTAGAAATTTGCTTTTAAATAGATTTTGAACAGGACTATTTCATGGGTCCAAATTATAAAAACTGCCAGTCACTAAATCAGTATTTTTTTAATTGTACAATTTTGTGTTGTGATTCCTTGATTCAAAATTATGATTCCCTCATCACTAGCAGTCTTGGTTCCCACTGATAGTCAAAGGGAAATATAATTTGAATTCTGAGATTTGCCCAAAGTATGACAGTAATTTTCAGATAGGAAAATACATATGCAGCATCCCAACAGAGAACTCCTATTATACCCCCAGTCGAGGCCCACTTTTAAAACAGCCCCAAAGATTTCCGCTCCAACATTACCATGTATTTCAAGGAATAGCAGCTTTTAAAAGGTATCTCCTTAAATGTAGCATCATCCTTATATGAATGTCAGGAGATGAATTATAATTAAAGAGTTTTCCTCCTCATTTGAGTGTTCTGGTAAGCAATTAGGAATTATACTTGAAAATGAATTCTTTCATAACTGATGCTTTACTTAGTACATGGGGACTGAATAAAAATAAAGAACATCTCCCCATGTGTTTGGGGAAATAATTTCTAGAGTTCACCTTGAAAATACTGAATAGAGCTTAGGAATCTCACACAATAAAAATTTATCCTCTGGTTTCCAATACCACAGCAAATTCCTCCTAGGAAGGCCTAAAGTTCTAATATTTTCCAATAACCTGAGACTGCAAAGCAACTGAGTCTTTCCTTCCAGAGCACAACTGAAAAAATGGGAAGCCAATGTCCCCACTATACTTTGAAGCATTAGGTTTCATAGCTCAGCCCCTTAAGGGGATAGAAGGGTCCACTTCTTGCCCCAGTTAAGCCGAGTGCAGGTATATTCAACCAGAATTTACTCAAAGGAAAAATGGGTTCTCTATAAGTAAGTAAATCTGCTTAAATAAAAAAAAAAGAGATAAAAATATACAGCCCATATACAGTGGGGCAGGCGTGAAATATACACTTATTTCTCAACTGTATACAAAAGATGTTACTTTAAACTTCAGTGGTTGAATTCAATTGGATTATGATCATTGAATTTCTGCTTATGGTAGAAAAAACAATCATGGTATTTCCAGATTAATCTCTTCAGAGTTAAAGGTTTACTTGCTTTTTCCTACTTAGGGCTGTTCCTTTCCCTTTCCCTCCTCTGCCCTAGGAGGAAGAAAGACTACGCTTCTGGTGCTGACAGGAAGATCTGGGCCAGGTGCTATACTCCAAGCCCTTAACAGCTCCTAGGGGATGTCTCATGCCTGTTTTTGGGTGCAGGCCTGGCTCTGCGGACGTAACCACTCAGTACCTCACCAGGGCTCAACAATATCTGCACTCACATCCCAGCCAATCTCCAGGGGTAAGACTAGCAGGCTTCCTTCTATTCCTGAACCTCTGCGCAGACCCATGAGGGCAAGCAGAACTGTGGAGATTTCCCCTGTACCACAGGCAGGATTGGGAAACCCTGAGGAATACCATGTCAGGGCCTAAACATGCTCCATTCACTTCAGGGCACACTAGAGATGGTTTTCTTCCAGAGTTCCAGATAGAACGCAGGGCAAGTGCCCTTTGCTTGCAAAGACTCCTTACTCACCGGTCTTCCAGCATTTCAATACCCGCTTAGGCAGAAGTCATGGAGAATGAGCTTTGGATCTCAGCAACCTAACAACATCATAGCTCTAGACTCCTCCCACCAACCCAGGAAGAGATTTTTCTCCTTCCTGGATAAAGAGAAACTATCAGGCAGCCTCCCTCCTACATGGCACAGTATGTACTAAGGTCTGGCTCCTCGCAATCCACAAATCCTTCTTCTTCTAACAAAGCCTGCCTCTTAAATGAAGGCTCAGGCTAACTCTGGTCTCTGAAACATGTTTGAAAGGCCTGTTGTAGATGTCAAAAGTGAACAATGTCTTCTTTGTCCTTGTCCATGCTGTCTCTCCCTTGAAGTAACAGAATCCTTAGCCTCAATGGGGAGAGTCCCAGGGTAACAAGGACTAGGAAGAATAGAAAGTTAATTGAATACTCTCCCTAAACTAGCTGCTCGTGATGCAAGGCCCTGAGATTCAGAATACTCAACCAGGATAAAAATAATGGCAACAAGCAGATATGGGCAAAAGGGGCCTATGGCTTTCTTTTCTTCAATTCTTCACATGTAATACCTTTAATCTCTACAGATATTCTGAGGGTGAAGGTCCACTCAACAGAAAGCCATTGTTGTACCTGCATCAGTCTAGAGCTCTCCACTTCCCTGGGGTTTCCCCAAACACGGCCCGCTACACCTCCTCTGTCCTCCCTACCTGCGGTGTTCACTCATCATGCTGCTGAGACCTTAGACCTTTCACTACCCAGCTAGAACCCCTAAGCTTGATTTCTACTTTCAGCTGATTCAGCTATTTTAGTTAGTGTCTTAGAACATCGTTCTCAGTTGGCTGTTCATTACACCAGTCTTTAGAGAGATTCTTCCCTCATTGGTCTTTACTGAGTAATTCACAGCTTCTAAAGGAAGTGACTCTAACTCTTGACATTTGAAACCATAAGTAATATTAAATAATTACTCCACAACAGTGGGAATTGCAGAATCAACTACACTTACATGAAGAACAGGTGAGGTGCAGTATATTATCTATTATTTCACCATAATTTTCAGGAAGGATAGGATCGTTGCATTTTGACCTAAAATGGTATAATCTAAAACACTACCAAAATCTGAACTCTAAACCATGATTGTAAGGATCCATCAATGCAGAAGACCTAAGATATTTCACTGTTGTTGCATGGATCAAAAATTTCCCTCAAAACTTATGTACTCAGAGGTGAGGCTTTAGGAAGGTGACTGGATTATAGAAGCACTAAACTCATCTGCTGATTAATCTATTAATGAGTTCACAACTAAATGTGGTATGTTAGGAGTTGGGCCTTGTTGGAGGAGATGGGTCACTAGGGGTGATACCTAGGAGGATGTAGTCTCGTTTCTGGCCACTTCTCTCAGGCTTCTCCCTTGCTCTCTGCTTCTTGGTTGCCATGAGGTAAGCAACTTCCCTTGGCCTCATCCTCTGCCATTATATTTCTGGCTTGGAGCCAGCCATCACAAACTGAAACCTCTGAAACCATGAGCCAAAACAAATCTTTTCACCTTTAAGTTGTGTACGTCAGGTATTTTGGTCAGTGACAAGAAACTGACTAACACACACGTGGAGTTTTCTCAAGAGGTATCTCATTCCAGAAGTTGTAATGAAAACACATGCAAAACCTCCTAACTTGAAAGCTTAGAATCATAATCAACAAGCATTTAATAAGTACACAGTTTAGTGTAGTGTTACATAGCCTTCTGAAAGCTTGCTATTAAAAATGGACAGTATGACACTGACATACACAAAAATAGCTGCCCATGAGCAGACTGGGTGACTACATGAAGGGGAGAGGACATTTTGTCAGAGCAGTGTGTGATCTCCTACATCTAACATGGTGACTGTGTTGGTGAGGTGGACACAGAAAAGGGTTTAAATCATAGGCAGTACATGGTTAGTCGAGGAAAAACACCTCATCACCAATTCCCTAAGCTCATAATAGCACTTTACACAACAGTGAAACATCAGGAGCTCTCCTCTTTTCACTGTAGTTGGGGGCCTACATGCACAGAAGGCATTCTGACTGCTCCTCATCCCAGGCAACCAGGTGAGGCCAGGCAGGGAAAGTCATTAATGAGGAATCCCACTGGTAGCTGAGAAGACTCTTAGCGAATTCTTGATAAACACTCCCTGTTGCACTGTTGTTAACTTTTGTTACAGAAATGACCTGAAGCAATCCCCCCCAACCAATGGAAAGCATTTTATATAACTTATTCCCTATCATTCTTTTGAAGGATATACAAAGAGAGGCTCAAGCTGAGCTGCAGGGTCAAATCTTTCTTTGTAGGACCTTAGGTCCAGGAAAGAACCCTCATCCCCCCTCTAAGGAGATTCTTCAGGTGACACCACAAAGAACACAGCTAATGTGTGGAGAGCAAGGCACTTCTCCAGCCAAAGGCGAGTTCCACCTGGCTGAAGGATTCAGCTTGCGAGGTCCCCAAATGGGTAGGCATAAGGGAGTACCCGTTTTCTTGGCCTTTCAGACTTTTGGGCACAATGCTAGCAGCCCATTCAGCTGCTCTTCTCTCTCCCACCATTCACTACTCTATTCTTCCACTCTCTAGATTTTGAGACTTTCTGCATTCTCTCCCTCATCTTTCCTATCACTCTGTTCTATTGTTAACTTTCCCATTTTGATTTTGCTTTTTTTGGGTGAAAATTGTGTTGGTGAAAACTTACTGGCATATAGTAAAGAAGTAGCGCCTTCCCTGATCATCATAAATTTTTAATAAAAAGCTCAAGATTCTGAACAAAAGTTCTTTAAACATGTATCATGCTCAAGATAACAACAGTAGTTTCTAAAATGGTCTAGAACAATTACCAAAACTAAACCATGTCAGGTTAGTAGGGAATAAACCTGCTGTCACCAGAAAATACAGAAGAAGCTCAAGATCCAAAAAGATGCCAGCCTGCCACCTTAGATGCCTGAAAAATCAAATGTACAACACAGGACCTTACCACTGGGCCTGTCTAAATAAACATCGGCTGAGTATCTAACTTGCGAAAGACACTGCACTCTGGACAGAAAAAAACAGCAAGCTGCAAAGTTTTGTAGGAGACCTGGATTCTAGTGTTTGCTAAATTAGTAACAGAAGTCTGAGCTTGGGCAAGTCATAAAAATCTCTGAACTTTGGATTTCATCTATCAGGATTTAAGTAACAATGTAAGGCATCATTTATTAGGAAGCAAGTGAGAGATATGTTTCACCCAAGAGAAAGAATCTACTGGAATTCTAGCTAGGTCCTGATGAGTAGATGGAATTTTAAGGAAAAGAAAGGATTAGAGACTTCAGGAAAGGCAAACAAAGCCAGCTCATATACAGTATTTCATATTAATGACACTGGATGGAAGTCTGGCTATTGAAAATTAGTGTATGGTAAATGACATGGACCAGGTATAAAAGAGAAGGACATGGAGGAGACTGTGCAAGGCAAAAGGCCAGATTCAGGTGTCTGGTCTTTCTTTTGCTTTTTCACTGGGTTGATATAAAAGGGAAAAGGCAGGGCTGGGGATCTAGCTCAGTGGTGCTGCTGCCTGCTTCATAAGTGCAAGGTCCTGCGTTCGATCGCTTGTACAAAAGAAAAGGCAAAGGCAAAAGAGCCAGGATGCACACCAGCTGGCTCCTCTACTTAGACATGAATCAACACCTCACTCAACTCGAAAGTATGAGAGTGAAACAATTTTTATTTGCAAATTACCAAAGAATCTGAAGGATGTAATATATTAAGAGAACATCACAATCCCAGATTTGAGGTTATATTAAAAAGCTACAGTGATTAAAAACAGTACAGTATAGGGCCGGGGATTTAGCTCAGTGGTTTGGTGGCTTGCCTCACAAGCGCAAGGACCCAAGTTCGATCCCCGGTACCAAAAAAAAAAAAAAAAAAAAAAAAAAAACAGTACAGTATAGTATTGGCGCAAAAACAGACATGAAGATCAATGGACCAGAATAGAGAATGCACAAACAACCCCAAGGACATTCAATTCTTTGATCTTTGATACCAGGGCCAGAAACAAACCAGAGGAAAGACATCTTCTTAAATAAATGGTGCTGGGAAAACTGACTGTCCACATGCGTAAGACTGAATCTAGACCCATATCTCTCACCGTGTACTAATCTAAATCAAAATGGATTAAAGAACTAAATGTTAAAATGGAAACAAACCTTCTTGAAGATAAAATAGGGAAAACTTTTGAAGTCATAGTCATAGGCAAGGACTTTCTGACCAGAACCCTGGTTGCAAAGGAAATAGTACCAAGAACCAACAAATGGAATCATATCAAATTAAAAGCTTCTACACACACACACACACACACACACACACACACACACACACACACAATCAACAGAGTGAAAAGACATCCTATAGTATGGGAAAAAATTTTTGCCAGCTATTCCTCAGACAGAGAACAAATACCAAAATATATAAAGAACTAAAAAAAAAAAAAAAAATGAGAGCCCACAAAATACAAGATCCAATAAAAAAATGAGCAAGTAAAATGAACAGACACTGTAGAAGTACAAATGGCCACTAAATATATGAAGAAATGCTCAACATCCCTGACCAATAGAGAAATGCAAACTAAAAACACACTGATATTCCATCTTAACCCAGAAAGAATGGCTAACATCAAGAAATCAAATACTGTAATAACAAAAGCTAGGAAGGCTGTAGGGAAAAGGGAAGCCTTCTGTGTTGTTTTGGTAGATATGTAAAATAGTACAACCACTATGGAAATCAATATGGAGATTCCTCAAAAAACTAAAACTAGAAATTCTGTTTGGCCTATTATCCTTCTAGGAATCTTCCCAAAAGAGTTAAAGATATCACATTACAATGATACATGCATACCCATTTTCGTAGCAACACAGTTCATAATATCTAAATCTTAGAAGCAGTCTATATGTCCATCAACAGATGACTAGATAAAGAAAACATGTTATTTACACACATTAGAGTACTACTCTGCCATAAAGAAAGATA